ACAACTAATACCACAGGCGTTTGGGGTGTGTGCTCACGGGAAAACGCTCCATTTAAGCAAGACTGCCTGTGGAAAAAGTAGGGGCAGCCTACGGGTGGCCCCAGGCAAGAGCCGCACAACCCTTTTCTCTCCACTTGGGGGAGCCAGCGCCTCACCAAAGGTTGTAGGTCAGCCCGTTGCGCTTCAAGAAGTAAACCAATGTACCCGTGGCAAAAAAAAGATGGAAGACACAGAACTAGATCCAGACAAACAAGCACGTCGTCTTCGTTTTTTTTTGAAGTGACTTTTTGCCTTCCTCATCCATTCTCAGAACTTTGTGCTTCTCACAAGAGACCAGAGCCTGGATTAGATTCACCACTGGATACAGTTTCATTTCCTGCCCGGAAATGGTCTAACCCAAAGAAGAAACTCTAGGAAGATGATCAAAATATGGTCTTGGTCAGGTGTGGCAGCCCACAACCCTCAGGAGGCAGAGGCAGAGGCAGGGGTACTGCTGTGAGTTCGAGGCTGGCCTGGTTTTATGGTGAGTTTCAGACCATCCAAGGGTACATAATGAGATCTTGTCTTTTGAAAACAGCAATCAGCACTTAGCAGCTCTCCTGGCATCACCCCTGCTGTGTACTCTGACTGTTCCTGGCCTGGACAAATCACAGCCTACAGAGAAGGAGAGCAGAACATGGCAGGGGTGGGGGGGTGAGTGTGGGGGAACTACTGGCCTTGGTTATTGGACCCCAACTTTGCCTTTCTGAAAACAGATTTCTTTTCCAGGTTATTACTGTAGAGCTATGGGACCCAACTGACACAGTTGTAGAATAAATAGGTGGAGATGTTCCTTAAATGGTTAACTGTGAATTAAACTGGCTGGATTTGATGGCCAGCAGGATAATGTCTAAGGAGTGGGGGAAGGAGAGAGAAGATTGAAGAGATCATTAACTCCATGGGATCCAGGTCTGATCTTGAGGGGAGTGTGTGTGTGTGTGTGTGTGTGTGTGTGTGTGTGTGTGACTCTGGCAATGCAGTTACCTCTCTAGTGTCAGTCTTTTTACTATAAGTGATGGGAGCAAAATCTAATAGTTGTGAGGACTCTCTGGGCCCTCACAGTCCAGACTGCATAAAAATGTTATTTTCAAGCTCATATGAATATGACTAAATCTCCAAGTCACTGAAAAGAAACAGAGCTGGAATTTAACTGAGGGAGGCGTATTTTAACAAAAAGCTGTCATTATCGAAGCTGAATATCTAACAAAGAAAAGAAAAAACAATTATTTTTTTAATTGCAAATTTTAGATTAGGCAAAACTTTACTCTTTGGAGGATCTATTTATAGGATGCACTCTTTTGTCTAAGTGTTCCAGGAAGGCTTAGCAAAATGCAATGAAAATAGGTGTTAAGTCCTGTGAAGACAGCAAAGTCATGATCTTTTATTTAGCTGTATAAGAAGGGACTAAAGTACAGTGGGGAGAGTAGAGGGTAAGGCTCTCGCCCACTTTACCTTCTAATTGGGGTGAAACTACTGCTTTTGTCATTTAGAGAAACAGAGAAAGTAAAATTTCTCTACCTAACATCCACAAACATAAAGATTCTTGAGACAGATTCCACTAGCTAGAACACACGTACAGTTCATCTTGGTAGCCATTTTTCAGAGACACCATTTAGATGAATCAGTAGAAACTGGCTGAAACGTTTTTTGTAGTCACCATATAACCTTTGATCTAGGTATCAATTTCCCGGTGACACAGCTAATTCTGTCACTAAGGGGCTGACCACTGTCAATCTCTTACTCTGGATTAGTCTCCCATGGTCCTCCCTTCTACCCTACCTGCCTCACTCTCTGGACTGCAGGTGGATGACCTGGGCTACAGACCAGCCATAAAGGGGAATTTATTTTTCTGATAGACAACACTGAATTGCTATGTTGAAAACATAAACAAATGGAGTAAACAGAGCCCCCAACACATAGGGGTTATAACTGATGGTTTCAGAGAAGCACAGTATCCCTAAAGAGTAAGTAAATAGGTGCTATGGAAACTGCATGTCCTCCTGCAAAGAAGCCCCCAGGAAACCTTTCATTCAGAAATCCCATTATTTTGTTGGTCTAGGAGGTTCTGGTAGTAATGCTGAGGGAAAGTCAGATACAGTAGCTTTTCTCTGTCCTGAGATGCTCACAAGCAACCAGTCAATAATGACTTGAATGACATTAGGTATAAGTTTGCAACTTTTAGCCCATCCATCCATCCATCCATCCATCCATCCATCCATCATCCATCCATCCCATCCTGCAAAATTTACTGTAAGTTTATTTGGTACCAGGTTCATAGTACCAGGTATTGGATATACAGAAAATGGCACAGTTCTCCTTAGTTTATAGTCCTTGTGTTTTCTAAGTCTGTCCAATTACCATTTTAACCTTATTTATTAGATATTATAGTATTATTATATTTTTTCCACTAATACAAACCAGTGTGGCTTAAGTGGAAAGAACACAGTATAGTGAACCCCAGCCCACAGTTTGATATCCTTGGATGTTCCTTTGAATTGTTGATAATTTAAAACATTAATTTCTTTTAGTCAGTAGCCTTCTAAATCCATTACAAAGTCCCTTGATTTAAATGCAGATATAAAGTAATACAGCCTTATTACTTGTATCAATTATTATGCCACACTGAAATACAGTGGCTTTGCTGACCAGATAGTAGGATACAGGATGTGTTGCATAAACACTGGGATGTCCTTGACCACGATGATGTCCTAGGCTGGCCTTGAGCCCTAGATCCCCTTGCTTCAATCTCCTGAGTGCTGGGATCACAGGCATGCGCCACTATCCTCTGCTTACACTTTTGTTTTATTATCTTTTCCTTTCCTTTTCTGCCATATTTGTCTTCTTTCTTTCAGGCTTTACAAAGATGCTGCTCACCCAACTATTCATTTGTTCAGGTGCCTGATTTTACAATATTTACCCATTCTGATTTACTATAGTCTGGGAAACTATAGAACCATGAGGCGAAGAGCCTGGCGGGAGGAGAAAGAGCTGCTGCTATGGAAAGAAAGCAGTTTATCTTTGTGGCATTGTCTAGTTGTCCAGGGGCTGCTTTTCACATTCATCTGGTTCTTTACAGCACTCTGAACAGGTGACGTGCTTGGCAGTGCTGTTGGGAAGTGTCCCTCCATTCACAGAGTGCAGATTCCCATGGTTTAATTCGAATTTAAAAAGAATTTGATAGAACTACATTTTGTAAGTTATAGGTAGGATTATAGCTATTTAGAGAATTATAAAACCATTGGTGACACCCTGAAATTGGAATAAGAAGGGAAGCTGAGTTAGATGTTTTGTTATTAACTGTTCAGTTTTAAAGTGAATCTCCTTTCCCCTTGATTTCACAAAAGCAGAGTTCACAGGCAGTGCACGCTGTGGTGTCAAAGTGTCCATATTTATCTGGTGTAGTTGCGAGATTTGTTAATGACATTCAAAGAGCATAGTCAAACAAATAAAGTGATGTGATTTACTGTTTGCCAGTCTGGTGTCTACTCAGATATCCTGGAGGAGATAGGGTGATATTGAGCTGGGATCAGATGAGAGATTTATTCAGAGTCTTAACTAATGACTGTCATGAAGACAAAATACTGTGTTTGGAGACTGCCAGGAAAACCAAATAAGGATGTTTATGATGAAAAAAAAAAGAGTGGGAATTTTTTATCAGTACTCTAAAAAGTCAGAACACATGCTCCTCCTCCCGAGTTCCCTGACGGGTTAGCATGTGGTGGGCACTAAGCTGATACCTTGACAGGGATGAGTCAGGTTTTCTCAGCAGGTTTTCTCCATCCTTTTCAGAATCCAAGATTCTTTCACACCAACTCTTGCTTGCCTGGAGGTCATTCTTAGCATAGGGCCAGTTTTATTTTCCAGAGTAGGATTGTCCAATATGGCAGCCAATTTTCACTCAAGACTATTTAAATGTATTAAAATTAAGAACAATACAAATGGAGGTCCTTAGCAGTTCAGTGGCTGCACATATACCCTGGTTACTGTGTTGGACAGTGCACTGTAGACTTTCCACCATTGTAGACAGCACCCTGGACAGAGTCATCCAGTCCTGCCTCAGGATGGTTCTCCACCTGTGCACATGGTTTCTTTGGGACTTATGAAGTTGGCTTTGCTTTTTCCAGGGTTTCTGTCTCAGCTTATCAAGTCCCAGAACTAGCCTCACTCAGCTTTCTCTGCTGCAGACTCCTGCTCAAGGACTTAGTGTCACATTTCCCCCTTGTAACATCAAGATTCTCCCCACTTGAATTTTAAAAACTGAGTTATTTTTACCAGTTAGTCATACTAGTTTTCTTGCTGACCATCTATTAACAGCAAATATTTTTAGCATGCAACAGAAAGGATCCTTATATCAAGCTTGGAGCTGAAAAATGGGCTGTGAAGTTTTGGTTTTTTGTGATTCTACTTCAACGAAAACAGAGTGATGGTTGATGATGTCTTCTATAAGTTATCAAGGAATATAATGTACCAAACCATATATATATATATATATATATATATATATATATATATATGGAAAGGATGATGGGATAGTCAGGAATGGAGGAAATAGCTAGAGACAAAAGGTGAATAGAATTTGAAACCAAGAGACCACAAAGAGAGGATGGTTAGTCCCAAGTGAATGGGAAGTCAGGATTTCCCATAGCCTTCATGGGGTTAAAACTACTCTTGCTTCCTTGTTGCTCTGGTAACCATGTTAACTGAACAGATGAGGATGCTGTCTGCTCCTCATGAGAAATGGAAAAGGGAACTGTAAAACAATCACTTCTCGCTCCATTAAGAATTTTGTACAATTGTGGAGACAGAGTAAACAAGAAACTAACTACAAGATCTGACCAAATAAGGAAGACTGTGTCAGGTAAAACAGAAGGCTTACCAGTGGCTTTGATCCACTTGATGGGCAGCCCGATGCCTGGCATTTATACCCTCAGTGTGCTCAATTGAACCCCCCACCAACATACTTGTTATGGAAGTCGTAGATCTCCTGGATGTTGCCAAAGATGATGTGCTCTTTATTGAGGATCCCAGGGGGTATCTCCTCCACACCACTGGTCATTTCCCACAGATAGGTCTGTAAGACAGTAACTGATTCATCACTGGCAAGCATGCCACAAGAAACCTAGACAAAAGAGGCCTCTCAACCATGGCACGCAAGAGTAGAACTGTGATTGCATATGGAGTTCAAAAGGTGAAGTGTTTAACAGGTGGAACAGAAAGAGAGAAACCCCAGCCACTCCATCACTCCGAACCTCAGTGCAGCCAGGCACCAGTCTTGTTATTTATTAAATCTGTGACATGGTTTGTATTCTGAAATGAAGTGCCCGGCCTACCCACCTCCACCCCCCTTTTTGGTCTGGGTCTAGCTCCAGCTGGAGAGAAGTGTAGAACTTCTTTGCAAAAGCACTTTACACTCCTGGGCACTTGCACTTGACTCCCGAAGCTCTCCCCAGCTGCCTTTTTACTTTCCAGCAGAACGGCAAGAGCACTGGGCTGCTCTCAAGGGCTTGACAAGGGCCAGCATGCCACTTCTGTACTGGAGCCGGAGACTGATCACTGAAAGACTTACCTCCAAGCACTCGTGTAGGTCCCTCACATAAGCCTTCTCTGTTTGGAGCAGCTCAGCCATAATGAATCTAGGAGGAAACAAATGGGCTTTCAGTTGCATACGTTTCCTTCTTTACAACTCTACTTCCTTGCCTCGGCACTGTGACACCCGAATGTCCCATTTCCCACTTTACCAATAAAGCTCTTCCCTCTCCTGAGTCACTCTCTCCCTGGTCACTTGCTCTCGATCCCTTCTCCATGTCTGTGCTCAGCTGGTTCCACTCTCTTGAGCTTTTCCACTCATTTCTACAGTGCTGATAGCATGTGCTGTCAACTGTATATGTGCACAGGCATGTGTGTACAGGATATGGGGCTGCTTACACTGGAGCTCAACAGCTAACCAGTCTGAACCTCAGTTTTCTACATCTCTCTTACAGCTCCCAGGATGTTGTCCACTCATTAGTTTATAGACTAATGCTGAAATAGTTCAGTACTCAAATTAAACAATTTCCAAGTCAGGCAGAGATGTCCAACATATCACTGAGCTCAGGGCTTTACAAGAGTTTTGTGTAAAGAACCAGGTTATATTTATGGGCTGTTCAGTCTCTGGCATAACCACCCACCACAGCCGCTGTAACACGCACCACAAAGTACAGATGTGTTCCAATGAAACCAGGCCACTAGAAGTCTTACATGTCCCCTCATGAAGTCTGTTTGATTTCATCAACCAATTAGTATGTAAGAATCATTTTTGGATTGTGGACTATATAAAACAGAGGGTGAGTCAAGTTTGACCTGTGGGCCATAGTTTGCTGATCTCTGATCATGGTTGGCCTTATTCAGTATTTGGGCAGCATCTCCAATGAGATTCATTTGCATCACAAATCTATGCACACAAAATTGGCATGCTCAATAGCAGTTCATAACGTTGGGTGATTGATGCTCTCCAGGCTCCTGGGAACAGAAGTTTATACTCCCCTTTACCCTGCAACAGGGTTTCTCTGTGTAGTCCTGGCTATCTTGAAACTCACTCTCTAAACCAGACTGGCCTTGAACTCAAGAGATCTACCTGCCTCTGCCTCCCAAGTGCTGGGACTAAAGGCATGTACCATCATAACCTGGCTGTGCTCTGTGTCTTTAAGGAAAGGACTCCCTCCTTGGACCCTTCAATGACATAATGGACTTGAGCATGTATGAGGTATGGCTTCATTATTGTGCATCTATTTTACCCTTTCTCTCCATAATTTTTTTTTTAGAAATAGTGCTTGTTAGCTGGTGTACAATAACCTACTTTAGCACAAACTATATATTTACACATTATCTTACATTGCCAGTATCAGTTTTTCATATAGTTCATGCCAAGAACTCCTGTTTCCAAGTGTTCTATCACATGAAAAATTTGAGAGACTATATCCCCAAGGTGTGTCCTTTTAAAAACATGACCAGAAATCCTGTGTAGGGAGCATCTTTACAGGCATCTTCATCTTGGTGGGCTTTTCCCTAAAGCAATTTATCACTCTAATAGTGGATTTCTATTAAAGGATTGATTTAAAGACTTCACTTTTGTGGAAGTCAATTAGCCACTCTCTTCTTATTCTTCCTCTGTTGGTAGAGTGGAAAGTGTGTCAATACTGGAGTTAGGCAAACAGGAACTGAATTACAAATCTGTCAGTCACTGGAAGACAGACCTCAGGACTTCTTATCTATAACATAGTTGATCACCCAGGATTGCTGCAAGGATTGAGTAAGATGGTATGAGAAAACTGCCTGGTGCATAGGATCCTGGGAAATACTCAGAGGCTGGCTCTGTAGGTTGCTATGAAACCAGGGAAGATCTGAAGGTGAACAGCTGGCATTGGAAAGACATCTTTGGTCTTTGCATTGGCTTTCATTTCTTCTTGTTCCTTCTTTCCTACCTGCTTCCTCTATGTTAACCTTCCTTACAATGCACACCTCCATTCTCTCCCTTGTCCCAGAAAGAATCCAGGAGGGCCAGCCAAATACAATCTTCTCTTTGGCTTCTCTGTTATGGCTTAAACTGTGTCCCTCAGAATCAGTATATTCAAATCCCACCTTCCCATTCCTCAGCTCTTGACTTTCTTTGGAAATAAATATTACTGCACAGAGTAGGGCGGGTCTCAATCCAAAATGGCCAGTGTCCTTACAGAAGGGGAGATTTGCACATGGGCATAAATATTCAGGAATGATGTCACATGAATGTGAACATTCCAGAACAAATGAGGGGAGAGTCCTGGAGCAGGTATTTTCCCCTTTACCCTCAGAGAGAATTGAACCCTGCACTCCTTGGTTTTAGCTTTCTGGCTTCCAGGACAAGTTATGTTTCTGTTGGTAAAGTCACTCAAGTTGTGATACTTTGTTATGCAGCTCTACAAACCAAGTGTCACTTGAAAGACACTCTGACTTCATAGACCAGCTCTTGTTTCCTCAGTCCTAGGGAAGTTGTTACCCTCTTATTCATTTGAATACAATTAACTACTTAATACCAGATACCCCTGATTTCTTTCTAGCATTACTCAGACTATAATAAAATATTCTCCACAAAGCTCCTCCCATGATCTCTGCATGTGTGATTTTTGTAACTTCAGATTAAAGAAGGTCAAGGACAAGGTGTTGTAAGTTGACAGAGCTCATTCTTCCCATGTTCAAGGCCTTCTGCTTCTTGAATGTGAAATATGGGTCAATAATCTCCTCCTAACCAACCGAACCCAAGAGCAATGTGCTCTGCCCAGCTGAGGGCAAGATTCACTGAGAATGTAGTCTAGGATCCCTGTGGGTGCTCGAATCTGCAATTGTTCAGGTTGCTTCTATAAAATGGCATAGCATCTGTTTATAACTTACATCCCCCATACACTTGAAATAACTTCTAGATTACTTATAATACCCAAGACAGTGGAAGTGCCACACAAACAATTGCTACATTATACTGTTTAGGAAATAATGACAGGAAAAGAATCTGTGCATGCTCAGTACAGGCATATTTTTCCTGAATATTTCTAATCCAGGGCTAGTTAAATGGAAGGATGCAGGAATCCTCGTGAATAGAAAGGGCTGGGTGAACTTGGAGAATGGAGCAGGAATCTAATGATAAATTGGTCCCAACTCTCTAAATGAATTCTGGCCCTAGCCATTCTTATTCTGAGGAAAATAGGATTCAATATATGGAAGTCTCAGGCAACTTCAGATTCTTCCATAATGTTTGATAGTATCCTCTATCTCACCTGCCTCTTATCCACATGGGCCAGCTGTGACATAGGAGGAAACTTAGGTCTCAACTTTGCCTCTGACCTCTATGAATCACTCTCAGGGCTTATTTCAAGGCACACATTTCTTTCCATTTAAAATATTATTCATCAGGCAGATTGAAATCCAAATATAAACCAGATGCAGGGGTGGGGGAGGAGAAAAGTTGAAATCCCTTTCACAGCACCTTACTTTCTTCTGGCCCAAACACATCTCTAAAACTCAAGTTGAAAACTGAAGCTATCAATTGTTTCCTTCCTTCCTTCCTTCCTTCCTTCCTTCCTTCCTTCCTTCCTTCCTTTCTTCCTTCTTTCCTTCATTCCTTCCTTCACTCCCTCCATCCCTCCCGCCTTTCTTAATTTCTTTTTCTTAGATAGGGTCTCATTACATAATGAGGCTGTCCCTGGAACTGCCAGTCTTCCTGTCTTAAGCTCATGAGTGCTGGCATGAGAGCTATGTGCCACTGTATTCAGCTATGGGGTTTATTTGTTATGTAATTTTGGATACCTTCTTATCCCTCAACCAAGGTTTCCATATCCAACAATATTCCACAAACTTCTCTTAGTCAGCTGGGGTATTCCAGTTACTATGGGAACCATTGGTTCATATAAGAGAGGATAAAATACTCCCTATCACCAAAGAGCTTCTAATCTAGTTAGACACGGCCACAGAATAAGTAAAAGAAGTACGGATGTCCAGAAAGGAATGGGACAAGGACAGCCGAGGATGTAGGTAAGGAAGGGTTCATGGAAGCATATGGTATGAAATGAATTTTAAAGAATCAATAGAGTTGAAGGGGGGCGCAAATAAAACCACACACACACACACACACACACACACACACACACACACAAAGAGAGGAAAGAAAAAAAAAACAAAACAAAACAAAAGAGGAGGTTCCAGGCTGGGAGCATTGCATGGACAACTGTATTTAGCATTCTTGATGATGAGGATGTGAATGACAGTGTTCTCTCTAGAGTGTGTCACTGAACTGAGAAGCACTCTGAAATAAAACCGACTTAGGTGGGGCCAGATGGTGGTATGTTGTGGAGTTTGACCATTATTCAGAAGGGAGTATGAAACCATTAGGAATTTGTGTGAAGTGGTTTGGTTACTGTTGAGTTCTGACACTGCGAAGTAAAATTTGATGGTCTAAGCGGTAGGTGCTCCCTGGGAAGCCCTTGGATATAGTAGAGAATGGAAAGGCTGAGCGATCTCTAGTAAGTGTCCATCCCAACATCTGCAGGTAGACAAGATGACACATTAAGCTGCCACAAGGGATGGGTAGCAGAGAAAATTAAGGAGGTGCCTGCTAGCTGCACTGGGAGCACCCCCTCCACCCCTGCCCTTCTCCCGGTCCTCCCCTACATACTCCTTCTTTCGAGCTGACTTCCGTTTCTCTTCATTGACCTCATGGTTAGCATCGCGGAGCTTAACCTCACGGTCCGAAAGGCTTGCAGGAATGATATCCAGTTCTAGGTCCTTGTTATCCTGCATGAGAAGTGTCACAGAGGTCACCTTGGGGAAGCCTTGGGAAAGCCTCTCAAATGAATTGGGGGAAGTAGTGAAAACAGCTTCATGGAAGATGACAAGATGGGGGATCCCACAAGGTTCCACTCACAAGCCTTCTTCATAGGGTAATTCTTCTATTCAAGTAAAAAAAGGTATAGGATGTTCTGGCCAAATATTTAGTGCTGCTATCTGTAGCTACAGGCATTGTGTATTTGTTTTCCAGGCCTCTGGTCTTGATTAAATCTAAACATACATTAGGCCAGAATCGGTTCTTCATCAATAAAATAAATGTGAAACAGAAATACAGGAAAACACTGAAAACCTCTCATTTGTCAAGAGAAAATAAAACTGTTTTTTATTTAAACAAACAGTTTCCTGTGGAAACAGGAACAGAATACCCAATCAGTGACTGAACCCTGTAATTGCTCATCCCTGCTTGTTCCATCGGGAGTATGTATGATGGAACCCACAAAAACAAAAACAAAAAAACAAACCCTCATTGCCTGGGGGAGACAATACGAGCCTCAAATTTTAGTGGTTTGACCACTTTACCCAAGGCTGCTCTGCCTCGGAGATTGGGGGTGTTTAAAGATATATGAATTAGAACCCCTAGGATTAAATGCCAGGCTGGATTTAGCTTTTAATTCATAGGTTACTGACCTCTATTATAAAAAAGAGATTAAAAGTCAGTCTTCCTTTGCTTCCTGGCACTTTGTACCTTCTTTCAGTTGAAGTGTCAAACAGCCTTCACACAAACTGTGCCCCTTATTCCTGAGAATCATTCATATACATGCTGGGGGCTCTAATCTTTGGCTCATTAACATAATTGGTTAGATGATAGTACTGATGAGACCAAAATAAAGGGTCTAGTCCTCAGAGCCAACAGTTAACTACACAGGAAAAATACTCTGCTTTGTATTCATAGGTCTGGCTCGTGGCTAGTCAATTTTGCAGTACACAGAACATTAATCATGGGTATGGATGGGTATGTGTGTGTGTGTGGGGCAGCTAGAGATGAATGGATTAGTAAGGTCCCCCAAAACCTATTAAAAATGCACGAGGTCCATAGGGTCCACAGCTCCAAAGGATTGCCTGGGAAACATGCTCCCTCAATGGTGATGAGTGAGGGCAAGGGAGGAGCTCCAGTGGACAGCACCCGATACGCACCTCTGTGTTGACTCCCAGGGCTTTCTCCAGGGTGTAGCGGTACTTTCCCATCCTCAGGGAGAAATCTCGATAGTGCTTGTCCACCGTGGTCACCCATTTCCTTATCTCTGTGGCATGGATGTGGCCCTTTTCCACAAAGCTGTCCGCTAGCTGGATCAGAAGCTTCACCTTCTCTTTCGTTTGCTGTCCCAAGAGATGGCCTAACATTAGTAGATCACATTATTCGAAGGCCCCTTTGTACAAAGACCCCCCTCTGCTCTGCATGACAGCCCTAGGCACCTCTCAGCTAATAAATGGGTTTGCATGGCAGTTTTGTCACTCACCTTTTGGGTGGCCTAGAGCAAATTATTTAAATCTCCCCCATGCTCCGTCAGTTTCTCCACCCACAAAATAGGAATCATAATAGCACCTGCTTCATAAAGTTACTTTGAACATTAATGGCCAATAATGCCTACTGCCTAGAACATGCCTGGAACATAGTAGGTGCTTACTGGGGCCACTGTAAGAACCTTTGCTATGGAGCACTGTTTTCCAGGCATGATGTGGCTGTCTTGGACTGTCAGCGTTATGATCACCTAAAGGAAAACTGTGCAAGATTGGGCCTATTGACCTCCCATCATAGAGGATTGGTAGGGCTCCTAAGACCCTACCCTTCCCAAGGATTTTAGACAGTCACAGGTTATTAGGTGGATGGACTCACAAGGCCATGCCAATTCCAAAAGATATATTAGCAGTTACTAGTTGCTGGGGTCAGTGATATGTCCTTCACTGGTGTAGTGGCTTGGAAGTTTCCCATGCTCCTGTAAGTAATATCTCAGTGTTTCTATTGAGTGGAACTGTTTCTTGAGTCTGTCTTTCTGGTGCCTTATCTGGGTGAGAAGGCATTTGCTCATGTCTCCAGAAAAGGTTCAGACAACTAGTTAAGTCAGAAATGTTAGCCACTGCTATTGATGTGAGGTTCTCTTATATTAACACAGTGATTTAGTGACTGAGAGAGCATGTTATGGTCACACTCAAGACGCATGCGAGTTTTGAAACATCCTTAAGAAGTATTCGGGGCCAGATGACAAGTCTCTGTGAGCCAGATGCAAACACTTGAGATTCAGCTTTTAGAGCTGGTCCAAATTCACACCACCGACAGTGACAACTGCATTTACCTTGGATCCTCTGTTGCTATTTCCTGCCCATCTCTGTACCGGAGGGCAGACACTTAACATCATATAAGCTGGCACAGGCTAGGATCTGATGAACCTAACTAGCAGACTTCTATCTGTTTTACTATGAGAGTTTATTTTTGTTTCTGTTCGGGGGAGATAAAGGGGTTAATGCCTTAGCCTATGGCAGGGCTAAGCAGACAAAGGTCTGACGTGTGTTGGCTTAACTTCATTTGTTGCAAGAATCTGCTCAGCATTTCCCTCATCTACAGTCCTTTGTAGAGAGCTGTGGGTTGGACTTGGGGGGTAAACAAATGGAGAAATAATTAAAAAAAAGATATTCGTTTGCCCCTATCTGAAATCTCCAGAGGGGACGAGATTTTCATATAAAATAGTGGACGGCTCGGGGCATCGTGTAATTGAATGTCAAATCGAGAAGTATGCTACAACAGAGGGACCTTGCCATAGAGAAGATGAAGGTAGAGTTGCATGGGAAGGCAGGGAAGGGCTACTGGGTAAGACAGGGAACCAGAAGTGACGAGTACAGCAAATACCTGAGAAGTCTGAAATTTGAAACTAAAATTTATCATAAAATCCTGAGAAATCTTTTTATTTATTTATTTATTTATTTTTGTTTGAGACAGGGTTTCTCTGTAGCTTTGGAGCCTGTCCTGGAACTCACTCTGTAGACCAGGCTGGCCTCAAACTCATAGGGATCTGCCTGCCTCTGCCTCCCAAGTGCTGGGATTAAAGTGGCGCACCACACTACCCTGCTGAGAAATCTTAAGGAAAGTGAAGTAACATTTAAATAATATGCTATAAGGAAAATGTTCTTTTAAGAAAATGAGGTCCAGCCAGGCGTTGGTGGCGTTGCCTTTAATCCCAGCACTCGGGAGGTAGAGGCAGGCGGATCTCTGTGA